TCAAAAACAATTCTTCTAAACACGTCTAAAAATTATAATTTTAAGTTTGTTAAGTGTATCTGCAGTCTGCGCTTTTAGTGAGAAACGTTTTTTGGATCTTTAATGAGAAGTATTTCTAATTATTTTATTTAAGACTGTTAAATGGATCTGATAAAATGCTTTTGTTAGGTTACACCTTTAAAATAATATATATTCCTCTTAAAAAATATTGACTAGTGATGCAATATACAAAAAAAAAAATCTGGAACTAAAGTGGCATTTTGACATTTCAGTACATCTCTTTCAGTACAATGTATAAACTTCATCTTTCTGTTTTTTAAATATATTCACATTACCAACTTTTTGTGGTTTCTATTTTTATTTGCACAAATTAATTGTTAGAAAAAACGTCAAATTTTTTTTTTTTTTTTCGTATTGCCACTGAAACTCTATTTGATGTCCAAATCATATTCATTTTCTTCAAAAGAATAGAAAAACAGTAACATAAATAAACTACTGTTAGACAGCAGAAAAAAAAAAATCGGAAATTTTGTTGAACAGAGCAGTCGATGACGGAAAATCTTTTTCTCGTTTATTTTTCTATTTCTATATTTGTGCATGCCTTTAAGAAGATGTAATTGAAAAATGTCAGAGTTCATGAAAAAATATTTTTACTTCTTTACCTAACCTTGTTTTTTTTGTTCTCAAGAACATCTTTTAACCGTTCGCCAAATTACGCACCGGTAAATAATGGTAAAATGAGAATAAATCAACACTTCTATATATATTTACCATAACAATCATGTTGGTTTCTTTTTTTTGTGCTCAAAAATAAGGTTTGAAACATTGTTCTTACAGTTTTTGTACTACGATACATCCACTAACGGTATACTGCTTAAAACTTTTAGACTGTAGTTTTTAGCGTTAGTATTAGCTATTTATTAGCTTTTATTTTTGTTACTAGTTGGTTATTCGCTTTGTTTTCCATTGCACAGCTAACACGCAAAAAGGCAAAACTGTGTAACATTTGTAAAATTAAAATATCTAGACCATAAGAATTTTAAATCAAAAAAGAATTGACTTTTCAAACAAAGAATTTTTTTTTCTTGTTTTGGTTAAAAATTTAATGATACTGAATTAATTTTTTCTTTTTGTGATAGCGCAAAGTGAGGGAAAGAGCCGATCGGTGTTGCTGTTGAGGCCAAAGGTGAAAAAAAAGAACATCTTCAACTCTGCTATTACATCTTTCATTCTCAAAATTTTCTGGTTGTCAGATGTGCTGTAACCAAAACAGACCGATCATTTCGTTGACGTATCAGAATTGAAGTTAAAAAAAACATTTCGCTTTTTATACTAAACGTTTTTTCTTTTTTCTTTTTTTTTCTTTTTTTTTTTTAAATGAATTATTTGAGACAACTTTACGAAATTTGAACCAACAAATCATTAGAAAAACCTATTCTAACTATTTATTATTCAGCAGTTTCAGGTTTTTAAAATTAAAATCAAAAAATTTTTTTTTGCTTTTGTACTGTTTAGTTGGTCATAGTTCAATTTATTTGTCAGAAAAGTAGAAAAAGATTACAAGGCATAGCGGGGAAAACAATTACAATAATTATTCTAAAAAATTTCTACAATTTTAAGCGTAAATTCACTAGTGCATAGATCAACAAAAATTTAAACATTTTGCTAAAACTTTTATGAACAATAATCATAGATTTTTAGGCATTTTATTTTTTCTGTTTTCTGAAAAGAATAAAGCAAAATAGGTGAAGAATTGTTAATAGTGATGAAAACAAAGAAAACAGCAATGAAATGATTTATTTTTATGTTGTAATTTCAAGAATATTTCTTTTATTTGGTTTTTTTAAAACAAAAACTAGACGCTTTATTTTTAGTAGTTATAAAAAAAAAACTGAGAGGCTTAAAACCAATATGAGATGTGACATATGACTGAGCATAAAATGCTGTCTTTGTTTAATAATTTTATTGCCGTAAAAAAAAAAAAAAAATTTCTGAAGTTCAACCTAAATTTGCGGCAATAAATTGATGAATCTATTAATTGTCATAACCAAAAAATTTGTCACTAATTTTTTTCTCAGCTTTCAAATGACAACTTTTGTACTTCCTCAATCATTAGGTTTATTTCATATTTACGTCCAGCAAGAATTGTAATTTTTTTTCTGCCTTAATGAAGAAACCGAGAAACAATGTGAACTCTTAGTGGTTTATAATTCCTAAATTTGAGCATTAAAAAACAAAAAAAGAAGCAAATAAATAAAAAAGATTTGCGATAAAAAATGTAGTTATAAAATTAGAATAAAAGTATTTTAGTTTTTTTCAAGAACAACCTAAAATTACGCATAACTACAGCTACCGCAAACACTTTAACATAGCGACAATATAAAGCATCAAATAGCTAAGCAAATTATCAACAACTTGTTAACTAATCAATAGGAATTGTAATCTTTATAGCTGAATAAACACAACTCTAAACATATAATTTTTGAAAATTCTGTTAGATCAAAAAGAACAGAGAAGTTACAGAATTGTTGGCTAATTGTTCGAATTACAGACAAAGTAACAATGACAGACAAATTGTCAGGAACAAGCAAAATACTTTTGAAGACGCTTGAACAGTTATTTTGAGAAGAAAGAACAAAAGTGGTTTTTGATAAGCTTTCATCTGCTACAAAAAAAGAATGATTTCAAAAAAAACATTAAAAAACTGATAAAAAAAATAAACGAATAGAAAGAAACTGGCAGCAAAAAAATTTTTTGAAATTATTTTTTAGTGATTGAATTCTTTCATTGAGTCATAAAAACAACATTTACCTATTCAACATTTCAGTTGTTTACTG